AGTGATCGATGGGAGCCAGCAATATATGCTCTCCCTCCCACCCCAAGCCGATCTGCGCCAAAATTTAGTGCTGTAATGAGTATCTTATGCAGGTATTGGAAGCTCTACCGGCATTATGGGATGGAGCTTGGAGTATGCATGTAGTTTGGTGGCGACCAAGCGGTTTTCTTACTTGGTATGTGTTCTTATAAGCTTCTTTTGGTTTTTGTGAAGATTGCGCCCACAAAAGTCTGCTTTTTCAAGTCTTCCCATCGTATGTATGGCATTGTCGTGTCAAACACAACTTTTCTGCGTCATTGACTGTATTCGTGACGCATCGGTTTCGCGTGTTGATGCGGTCGTCTCAGGAGCTGTCAATTTTTGTTCAGCCATGTGAGTCCTATTAAGTCTCCTTTTTTGATATCAGCTCGTAATACCAGTGAAGGCTGAGGACAACTGGAGCAGCTTACAACGTGGTTGGGAGAATCCCATCGGGGCAAACATCACGCCGCGGAAAACTGCCCGGTCCGTATGACCCTTCCTTGAGGAAGGCGTGTCTGACGACCCTCCCCCTTCCTCACAGGCTGTCCATGTGTCTGCCTAATTTTGACGGTTGCGTCGCGTGCTGTGAGAATGGTGCGGTGCACGGCGCACTGGACTTCCATTTCCACTTCCAACTTCAATGCTCCTTGGAAAGTGTAACATCATCCACAAAGCATCTTTTCCAGCGGATAGGTAGGATCCGTGATTTCTGGAGATCGAAAGACCCTGAAAGTGATGTTACTCTTGCATAGTGGCTGTGCACGAGAAATAACGAGAAAAGTTCCTGGCTCTCGCGAGTTTTTCGCCCTTCAGTGGACACAACTGTTCTAACATGAAGTAGTGAAGTAGCTGCACTAAGGGGGAACTCCGACAAGACTGCCCACATTTCATTCCAGATACCTCGAGGAGACTTACATTACACATGCATCGGCTTCGGACCCCTGAACCATACCATCCCTTTTCTGAAGGAAAACTGTTTTACTAACATTTCATTACTTTTCCTCGGATTCCTATTCGGTATAATAGCTGTTTCTTGCTCAGGTATGCTGGTGTAGGAACATTTGGCTACGTGGCGTTCTTTTCTCGATCTCTTCATGGTGATGTACTCGTCGAACTAGAATCATCTTTTCTCACACAACTCCTTAAACTGGCGTTCATGTTGTCGATAGCGATTTCTATACCGCTGATGTTGTTCCCAGCACGAATTGCGCTTTTCAACTTGGTATTGCGGCCGGTAAGTGTCACCAAGCATTTTCTCCAGTGTCTTGTTTTCTCGGGTACTAGATGGATTTCCTTTCATAAATGAGCGGAATTCATTTAAGCTTTTGACATTTGAAGAAGTTCAAGATGTACCTTACAAGTTCTTTGGTTCACGCAAGGTGAGCGGTGATGAATGATCTCAAAGACTGGAATGAACTAAACTGATTCTAAATTTTTAATTCCATTCATAAATAGATTAACTACACATGAGGACGCTATTTCAGTAAGATGAGATGTTTTGGTGCAGAATGCCCATGACAAACATTTTATTTCACTATACAGTCTAGGAGAAGTAGCTCACGAAGTGCGGAAAGCCGTGTGACGCAGGTGTGGCATTGGCACAGCCTCTTGTCGCTGGGGAAATTTTTGTAAAATACTACCCCACCCCAAAGTTCCTCCTCCGGTACGATCCCCTTCCACATTCTAACATCTTAGTGGCTTTACCCAATTTCCAACCAGTTTTTTTCATTTTTCCGGGGAAATCTTCAGAGTTTTTCTCCAACTCCAACAGCTTATCAAATAGGACCGCCGCAAAGCAGGTACGGCCTCCCTAGCGGGCCTTAAGTGGAAACACGGAAAAAATCACTTATCAAAAAGTTCTGAGGGCAAATACGACCTTCCTCTAGCGATCAAATACATCCCCCTCCATTTTGGATTCCCGAGCATGGGGCGTGTTATGGTCGCTGGCTGTACTTCAACGCGCGACGATATTTCCTACTTTTTCTTGCATGTGGAATGTACTGTATTGAAGAAAGGCAGAAAAAAGTTGTAAGCCGGAGCAAAAAGGGGGGCGGGGCCCCCACTGGCTGAACTTTCGCGCTCTAAACATATTTGGGGTGGGGAGGGGACTCGGAGGCGGCTCTTTGCCCCTTCTCCTGATCGGGGCTTAGGCTAAATGAAGACCACTTTTTCTCTGCGAGGCTAACCCTTGGCGACTTTGGTCGTCTGCGCTCTAGGCCTAGGCTTCCTTGGGGAATAGGACATGTCGTACGTTGGAGATAGCCAGCGAGTAGTCGTGCTTAGTCACCGAAGGGAGGTGTGGGGGGGGGTTCGTTACCTTGGACAAAAATGTTTTCAGTCTTGGTCTCCGGTTTTTCTTTTTCAAAAAGTGCGTTATACATCTCTCCTCCTCGCTAAACGGCATTTTTTTTTGTGGTAAAGAGGAGGAATTTAAAAATCCTTGGAAAATGGTAGGAACTTGGGATTTGGGAGGTTGGTAGGTAGGAAAGGGGGGGGGAGGATGGTACCATGAGAGGAAATTTCGAGTGGATTAGTCCTATTTTAAAAAAATTTCATTGACGGCAAAGTGCCCTGCCCCGTAACACTTCGTAGCTTCGAAATGCCTTGTACGTAATCCGTGCGAGGTTGCACCAAAATGTCTGATCTTACTGAAAGAATACTGGCATTAGTTGCCTTACTGTATCCTGTTAAAACGTTTTGCTTTGATGGTGCGTTTACAGAGGAATTGCGAGCTGCCAGTGTCACATGCAATGCGCTACTCGACATTTCATGTACTGACATTTGTAATTTTATTGTTCAATTTGACAATCGCACTTATAATTCCTAATGGTGAGTTATTCTTAGCTTTCCAGTTTAATCTCTACGTATTGGCAGAGTCCTTTGAAAGGCTATTAACTTCGTTGTTTAAATTCCTTATGTGCTCGAATCCTAGCTCCGTGTAGCGTCAGATTGTGTTGTCGCGACGGCAGCTTCGGTCGCGCGTTTGAAGCAGTCGAAGCATGCGCATCGATCGCGTCCAACGCGCGACCGAAGCGCTACCGTCGCAAAGTCTGAACGGAGCCTTAGTCAGTGAACGGCAGACAGCGAGGCGCGGCACCGCGAACTCTTTAATTTAGACCTGCCATCAACGATAGGGAAGTCAGGGGGAAGGAGAGAGTAGCGCTGCGTTTCTGCCTCGTCTGCGCTCTCACTAATTCCGCCGCAGTCAACCATCACTATCTCGTTGAAAGAATGCATACGTACAGAAGAACACGTCTCGTTCTCTATGGCCCCCTCCCCCATGTTCCTCAAGGTGCTTTACGAGTCGGGAGAATAGAAAATTTGATCGAATGCCATCTATTCCCTTGGCGTGTATTCTCCTATTCTCCGCATTACCAAATTATGAACGTGGCCTTCGCGCCCAGTCGCCTGCTGAAGGTTTGTCTGAGGGTTGTAAATGTGTGAACCGAAAATTTTCCAGTGAATTGTGCTCGGTTTGACTGGATCACTGATTGGCTCATTGGTGTGCATCATAATACCATCAATTCTCTATCTGGCTGTGGCGAAGAATAGAGAGCATAAGAGTGTCTATTATGCCAAGGTAACATCATTTTCCGTTAAAAATCTAATTTTTGAGGCTGCGGCAGTTGGAGGAGAGGGAGAGTGGCCGCTCGTGCCACCAGGAAGCCGCACGCCAGCGGAGCAGGACGCAGGCGTTAGTCGCGTAGTCTGCCACGCGTCCCCTCGCTCTCCCAACTCTTCCAGCCATTGACTCATTAAATTTTTTTTTGCTGGAAAGCGCTATGTTAAGATATGTTTGGTTGCTGGTTTCTTCATACTGTTAGCAAGCACGTGGGCGACTCTACAAGTGGAACAAACCTCACGTGTTGCTGAAAAGGTGAGACTTAACGTCTTGTTCGCTGCGGATGCTGGGGCGTGTCAAGGGAGCAGGGTTTGGCACGATACCAGCCCGTTTTCCACTAATTACTTGCTCTTGCCCAGTTGGTGGAGAACTGGCTGGAGCGACGCCAAACCCAACCTGCCGGACATATCCTAGCTTCCGCCCTCAATAGGACTCTTCATCTTCCATGTACATTTCCACTGTACATGGAAGATGACGAGTGCGAGGAGAGTCTTATGTTCCAGAGAATTCCGCTCTCCGACATCTGGAATTATGACGTCGTAGGTGGCTCACATTATTCTGACTCATGCTGCTTCAGTTTGGCTTTTCTACGAGCGCAGGCGCTAGAATTCCAAGACTTTCCATAATATGCTATGCCTACCACGCGCGGTCAGGGGATCAAATTCTGGATCGTCTGCTGCCCAAGTTAAGCAAGCCGTCTATCCTCCGGGCGGTAAATTGGTACGAGATTCGTCTGGTATGATAAGAACACTGACTTGTACATCGTTCTGTCCCCCGCCAGTCGTTGTATAGGCCACATCGCATTCAGAGCCATTTCAATTGTGAATGAAAGTAGAATGCGTAGTGAATCCCAAAAAAGGATTGTCTGATGGCGAAGGCTTTATCCTTTACCCCATTTTATTAGGTTGTCCGGAAAGTTCTCAGCGTTTTGGGTGTTTCACTTTAAACGATCGTAACTTTTTTAATACTCATCGGATTTAATCGAAATAGGCACCATTCGAATCAGCACACTTTTGCCAATGTGACAGCAGTCGAGAAATCCCATCAAAGTAAAAAACTGGGTGGTCGAAAATTCACGAAATCCACGAAGGCTTTTTTGCCTGGTCCTGATTGATGAAGTATTTTCCAGCAAGGGAGTTCTGAAAATGTTAGAAAAGGTGATAGTCGATTGGCGAAAGGTCTGAAGAATATGGCGGTTGAGGTAGAACTTCTTCAAACCCCCCCCCCCCCCCAATTCGTTCAATTTATGGATAGTGATTTGTGGGCGGCGTTGTCATGCAAAAGGAATCGGACCCTTTCTTTTGATAAGTGTTGGCTGCATCTGACAAAATTTTCGGTACAATTCGTCGATTTCTTCACAGTAAGGGTTCTGCTGTGATGGTTTGGCCTGGTGATAAAAGTTATAGTGGATCACACCAGCCGATGACCACCAAGCCGTGACCAGAATCTTTTTTTCGTTGATGGGGTTCGGCTTTAGAAAATTACCTCGGTGGTTCGTCGAAATCCAACCACTGTCCGGAACGTCTCCTGTTATCATACATGACCATTTTCATCACAGGTGACAATTCGGCCCAAAAACAGGTCGTTTCTGCTGCGCAAAAGCAATGCAGAAGGAACCTCGAGACGTGCCGATTCCTGCCGGTCACTCCGATTGTGGGGCACCCAATTGTCGAGTTTTTTCACCTTCCCAATGCGTTCCAGACCATCTGCAACAGTGGATTTGCCAAGGCCTAGCTCTTCTGCTATCTCTCGAACTGTTTGGGATGGGTCAAAAAATCCCCCTAAAATCCTCGTCAGATATTGCTTTAGGTCGACCGCTATGAGGTTCATCTTCAAGGCTGAAATCTCCAGAACGAAATTTGTTGAGCCATTGCCGCACAGTGCTTTCTCTAGCACTATTGGGCCCCACACCTGGTTAATTTGTTGAGCTGTTTCGATTGCGGATTGCCCCAATTTATAGTCGAAAAAAAATCGTCCGAAGTGCTCTTTTCACATGCTTGAAAAAATCTTGAAAAAAGGGGTTTATCAAGCAATGGTGAAACGGCAATTATACCATCAGATAGCGCAAGAAATTCTCTACAGGATGTGCTACTGAGAAGCAAGGCAGAATGAGTTTTTAATCAGCAGTGAATGTACAAAATAGGTGCACAAAACGCTGAGAACTTTCCGGACAACCTAATATAGCATTCGTCTTTGTAGATCAATCCTTCGCAGCGACTTATAACCTGGCGCGTGTCCCTCTTAGATAGGGTCCAGCATCGTGCTGTGTTTAATGGCGGTGCCTACGATCCCCCAGAAGCCATACCCTATCCTTCCTAACGACTCCCCATTATATAAAATTTTTCAGTTTTTCTCCAAAAAAATGTGCCGAATGGAGAGAAGGGTTCGTCTTACCAACACAGTCTTAATTTCAGCCAGTAGTCATATGCTACTAGTTTTGTGGCTCTGGTAGAGCGTAAAAAAGAGGGGGGGGGGGGTCATATGGTAAAAAAAATTCGGAAGAACCGAGAAAAGTCAGCAACCGGAAAAAATTTTACGGCGGGAAAAACTTTTTCGAAGACAAGTACGAGCCTCCTCCTCAGGGATCAGCGACGGCTTCCCAGATGTGATACTCGGAACGACGTTGTACTGCACGCCCTCAAAGAGCTTTGTCCGGGCTGGACACTTGAAGTCCCGCCCCGAAAGTCGACAGCCCCATCTCGTGATACGGATTTTTGTAGTGTACCATGCTGATGTTGCATTGGTCTAGTCAGTGTTCTGCTTTCTTCTGAAAATTACCCGAAACCGGAAAAGTACTCCGGTACAGTACACAATGTACAAAGTAGCCAATGACGCGTGCAGTCGCGATGCGGACAAGAGCTCGTGTCACACGGAATTCGCTAGTTGTGAGCGTTTAAAAGAGGAAATGGGAGCTCCCTAAAGGGACACCCGTTGTCCCGGGAATTGACACCCAGTTGCACCTCGCCGGGCACGCTTCACGACCGCGCGCGTCAGTGTTCTAAAAACCTCATGGCTAATCATCCTCATATCTGCGTTCCTTTGTTACAAGACATCATTTTTTATTTAGCCGATGCGAAAGATAGACAATAAAGATAGTGTGATCGACAAGCCAGCATTGAAGTCGCTACAAAAGCTCGAGGAGGAGGTTTTGAACACGAATTTGAATATTTCTGCGGTATGAAATTTCATTGGAAACCTTTTCCGACGTACGATAAGCAGTTGATGTTGCAGAAGCTGGATAATATAGCCGATCTTGCTGCGAAAGGAAAGGATAAAGAAGCTGCACATTTGCTGGTGGAAATGAAAAAGGAAAGAAAAGAGCAAGAAATTCTGCTGAAGAAGCAAGAAGAGATTGTTCAAGAGTTGCAGAAGCATGTTGAAGAGAAGGTAAAAGGTGAGCGTAAAGTTCACTTAGAGGGGGTGAAAAAGGACAAGGGGTCATTTCAGAAAAAAGGCACACTTTGCTGTGGAGAAGTATAATATTTCGCGATTAAGGACGTCCCCTCTTCCTCGAATTTCTTTCCTCTGCTATGTCCTTTTCCCTTCTCTTTTCCCCATCCTTCCTACTATCTTGTCAACTTTTCTCAGCTTCCTACACATTTTCCGAAAATTTCCAGTTTTTCTCCGAAATCTTTTGTGGAGCGGGAAGTGGGGGAGGGCTGTATAGCATTGAAACAGAGAGAGACGAAAAAAAGAACCTGAAAAGTTAAAAATCCAAAGTTTTTCTCGCAGGCACCCGTGTTCCTCATTTTCCAACAGACAACAATGTACGACTCCATCCGCACCCATTGGATTCGCTCATCAACTGTGGTAACGCGCCGAAACAGGAAAAAGCCAACTATCAATACTTTTTTTTCAAACGCTAACGATGCGTAAGTACTCAGAGGAAAGCGTCGTAAGTCGCCTGAAAGAAATTCCTCGATGCTTGGTTTCTTCGATGTTTCTCAAAAATTGCACTTTCACGCCTGTTTCTCTAAATTTATAATCCTGTTATACAATACAGCCATCTTGCCCCGACGATCTGATTCAAAAATTCGTATTTACTTGTTTCAGCGAAAGAGTCCGGAGAGAAGGTCGAGGAGAAAGTGATGCCCGAAGCCAAGCGCGATGTCGAAAAGTCGAAGGAATCCCTTAAGATGGTCGAAAAGGCGGAGAACAAGCCAGAAGTTGTCAATGCCGAGAGAAACGCCACTCAAAATTCCCAGCAACTGTGCAAGAGAAGGAGCTGAGCACGAAGTCGATTGATAGCCCAGCAAACGTGAATCGCGCTCGCGATGTTCAAAATAGAAGCAGGAAAGCAAGTATAGAACATCGTGAAGCATAGAAGGAGCTGTGAAAGTGATTGCGAACCCATTCTCGAGATTTCTGAAGTTGGTATGTTTGGCTAGGTAGGAAAGAATGTGTCATGGTGGTAAGGTACTAATCCCGAGTGTGCAAGACCCGAGGCGCGTGCGGTCGCGGCGCGTAGGAACCCGTTGACCGCAGCTACGCTCGCTTTTTCCATGTAGCTATGAGATACGTGCCTGTCATACTAGAACTAACATAGAACTTAAAGAATGGTAAATCTTCGTCACTCTTATTCAGGCCTGAATACTGGTTTTTGGCCCTGGCACTACGTGGGAAAAGGGAGGGGCATGCGGTGGCGCAAGCAAGGCTGCTGGTCTGTGTTTCTCACCGATGTAGTTATTCCTATACTTACTTAGGCTCAACCTTAATAGAGCCAGACGGACCGAGTCGCTAGGGTATAATATTGCTGCGTGCTCCACGCCTCTCCTTCTGCCCTCTCCAGCTGCGCTAGCTCCCGGTTATCATACCAAACTACAAATAAACCAAAAGCAAGGCGCGTTTTACGCGCTACGCCGCACCATCGCTTTTCTTGTCTCAGCTGCCTTTGACAGAACTAATAAAATGCGCTGTACATGTGGTAATTTATTGATACTATTTATCTATTGACATTTGCGATGAAAAAAAACCCCTTTTGAAGCGAATTATTGGTTACTAAACATATGGTGACGAACATCTTTAGACAATCAGGCTTAAGGGCACGTTCCGCGACAATCGGATGGGCGGAGCCCGTAACCGTTGTGCAATACTCACAGTCGCCCCGTTTTTTTCTACGATATCAGGAAAGAGCGGCGCACCAATGAGACGGTGCATTGGTAGGGTAGCTCCGCCTACACGATCAATGTGGAATGAACCGTAAAGCTGGTTTCTGAGCTGTTGCAGTACTTTTTTGTTGTTATTATGGGTTTTGTGTTGGTGTACTATTGGCATTTGTTTTTTGGTAGTTTAGTTATCGAACTGGTTTTTAAGTTGAATTTTGATGATTCCCCATCACGGGTTTGTTATAATTGTGCAATGTGTTTATGAGAATACTGCAATGTTTTGAGCACGTATGCATGACCATTTGGCGAGGGGTGCGATGAGAGTAGAGTGGGTCAGGACATCCGATGCGGCAAACAATTCTCAATAAAACTGGGATTTTCGGATAGGATCTGCATTGCGGGCAGAGCTGGGAAGAGAATCAATGAAGCAGACGCAGTGATAGCGAATCCCCATCCACATCGTTAACGCGGAGGGTTCTCGCAGATCAGACACTAGCCCAGCCTTCTCCTGGACTTCTAGGCTTTCCCGATTCGAGGCACCTTTATTTCACAGAATCCCTTCGCTTGGGGGTCATGCATACTAACGAAATTCCAGGGATGCATTTTGGACGTGGGCTATGGTAAATCATACATATATTAACCATAAGCTTACAGACATGAGCCTTTCCAGTGATATCCTGGGAGGTCATGAGAAGTTGTCGTCCTCACATAACTGTCGGTTGTTGTCGGTTGCATTGTAATGGATTGTATGAATAAACTCATTTTCGATGTTATGTCGCGAATAGAGAGCGGCTAAGAATAGCCAGTAATGTTCTTCACATTGCATCCCCCCATAGATACAGCTTGTTCGCTGCGGGTACTGGAATGTTTTGCAGGACTTGGTTTGGCGCGGCGCCAGCCGGTTTTCCACCAATTGTGATCGCCTGCAAGCTTCCACAACTGGTGGACTACGTGCTGGCGCCGCCAAACACAGTCCTGAAAAGCTTCAGTATCCGGAGCGAACAGGACTGACTTGCTACGTTTGTTTGTCCGGAAATTCGGTTTCACCCGGAGAGCTACCTGAAGACGTCCAGGCCGTGTTACAGAAAAACGGCCATCCGGCGGATAACAAATATGGTGATATGCTTTAAGATGGTGCGGAAAGATTGGATTCTGGTTGCTCCCACCGCCTCACGCTTCGCATAACTGCATAGTACAGGTATGCACACAAGTGGCTGAGGGGGGGGGACAAGGAAAAGTTGTTAAGGC